TCAAATATTTATTTTAGAGAACATGCACAAAATGTGCTTTCTTTTGCCAATTTGGGAGAAAATCACGTTGCGTTCGTATTTTATGCCCGAAAAAGTATAGATTTTGGTTTTAAAAAGTTTCTAATTATGAGATTTTTAAGACCGTACGATGTCCATGCATGCAAGAACGCACATGTCCGTTTACTAATGTTCCTCATGAAATGTACAACACAGTCCAGATCCATTGCAAAATTTCATGAACTCTATAGGGTATCTTCTTGAAGGCACAGATGAATATATGATTTTCCTTTCGCGGAAGTCATGCACCTTGTAGACTCAAATTGCCAAACGCTGATGTAATGGCTGATCAGGCTGGAAAATATTCGGGAAACGAGAAACTTTTTTAAAACCTAAGTATACACTTTCTTCGGACATAAAATATGAATAAAACGTGATTTCCTTCCAAATGAACAAAAGAAAGCTTATTTTTTGCATGTTTTCTGTAAAATACATTTGAAGTTATAAGACCATCGAAAATAAGTAGAAAAAACGCATGCTACATAAGAAGTCATTTCTTACCGAGTGTGCTTTCTGCAGGGGGTCAAAATAAAATGCATTCAAAAGCCGACATCCTGGCAAGTCCGTAATGTTATAGGGTTATGCTGCAAAGTAATCAGTATAACAACCCCACTTAAGTAATCCTTCCTAATCGGAAGCACATTCCAGAATTTTGGCCAACATTTCATGAGATCGGTCACGCACTGTATATAGAGCTTAGCATTGGGGCCAGAGAAGTGGCGAATCAGATAATTATATTCGGCTCAGCAGATGCTGTCCTTCTTATTATTTTTCAGTAAACCACCGTCCAGCACAAAATTGGATCTTTCACTCTTAACTCAACTAACTTTCCCGTCACATCGCATTATACCAGTGTTTTGTATTGAGGAAACTCGGCTTAATTCGGAGTCCGATATTCATTGTTGTTCGTGGCACATGTAACAATTTCGATAAATTTTTACCCGTGTCAACATTACCTGGCTTACCAAACATAGGTTCTTATGGTTTTAATTTCATTAGAATTAAATTTATATTTTTGTTGTATACTTTATGAGTTAAAGGTTCCTTGAAGGCATGATTTGTTTACTTGTGCCCCGTTGTGCAGCGTATATTTTTGCCGCAATATGGTTCATTGATTTCGAGTAAGCAAATAATTTCGTTATCTACAGCAGAACCTTTTTGTTTGGCGGGGGATTTTAATGTTTCGCTTTCGCCCTCTAATCCTTGTTGTGTCACTGGCTCTGAATCTTTGTACTCTCGCATTGACGCCTAAACTGACCACCATCCTTTTAACTCTCCGTGACTATTATGCATACAAATAGGAAACCTTTATGGATTGGAATCAAAAGGCGTCATAGCTGTCTTTGCTACTAAAAAGGAAGACTTTCACGGAGACAAGTTTGCTCTGCGAACGTTCTTTTATTCAGAAGTTGTTGGTTTTCTGGCTGTATGCAACTGTAACAAACTGTAACTGTAACATTTTAGCGACCAGCAATTATGGAGGCATTTGGGCGTTGACTATATCCAAATAATAGTCTTTCTTGACCTTGGTTGTCGTATATCTGGCTGACAATGCAAACCGAGTCAGCAATGGACACTTCCTTTTTCTGTGCTTACTGACCATTTTTCGATTTGTGCTCAGATAAAAGAGTTGAAAGTTGTAAAAGTTCATAGACGGACTGTACACAATTGCTGGAGCACACAGAACAATCCAGGGGTAAGAAAGAAAGAGATTCAGCGGGCACCGGAAACATCTCTTTATTTTGTGGATTCTTAACTTATACAAGAGTCCATCCTTAGAGATTACAGAAGCTATAGAACAAGTGACTGTTATGGGAGTCAGTAGCTAATCAACGACCTTTGCTCCAGATCTGGAGGCAGTTGAACTGGATTCTGTATGCGGCCGACAGAGCAATACATCACTTGACGGAGTTCTCCTCCTGGGCCCAGGTTTTAAGCAGCTCTCAGCTTCCCTTACTTCTGGGATAAGCCGTAATCTTGGCGGCTACAAAGTTGAACTGGTAACCTGCTCCAAACTTGTAGGCAGCCACTTGTGATAACTCATCACACCGTGGCGCTACCAACTTATGCTTATGTATGCGCGACCAAGCATGCGTTCAGTCTAATATGTGTAAGTACAAAGACAGTTTGGGTACGGTATATGATAAACCGCACGAGACTGCTCCCTCAGTCTTAAGTGGTCCTTAGATTATATGGTCCTGCTGTGCATGGTAGGTTTGGGTCGGTGTGCAATACCAACAGCAAACTCCGAAACAGTGTCTATGGTCGACTCTTAAGCGTTCTTTATGTGTGGTAGTACATACCATGTTTGGGCCGCATAGATACATTTGGGGGTCGCAAATCCGCATCCAAATGAAACAATTCACTGTGATAAACGGAAAGAAGGGATCGAAACAAACATATCCGATAAAGGTTTTCTATATGAATGATAGCGAATTATTTGAGAGCTAAACTCAATCCATGTTACTTAGCACTTTTCCGACAAGACAAGATAACAGTCAGGAATCGGTCATACAAATAAGACTTTGTGATGAAATTTGTATAAATGACAGCTCGGAGAAAATGAACAGAACAGCTCATGTTTAGGCATCAGGCTTGACTCGTTTCGCCCATATCCTCCATGAAGACGTGGTATGGTAAAAGGGTAGCACGTTTTTCATACTAGAATTATTATTACGAATATTGGCTTCCCCGCCTAGGTATTGCTTTCGGCATCGGTAACAGACTGGTTCTTGTGCACCAGTGCTGCAATTGAACTGTGTGCCCTTATCACATTACTCTCCATGCACTTAAAATGCGCACTATGGCGCTTTAGCTAACTCCATGTTTCATGATATCCTTTGGGGGCCGGGGTGCCAGTGAATTGTCAATTCGAACGCCGCAAGCGTAGAACCGGCGACTTCTATGACAAGTCACTGTCAAGACAAATGGGGACGGACTCGAACACAATGGCTGACAAAGCCTAACAATCCATTTACTCGTGCCATTCAACCTGACGTATACTATGCTACAATAATGGCTGGGAGGATCTCACATGTGCGAGTATTCCAAGGAGGCCACATGCAGAAGTGACCATTGCCAACTGACTGTCAGTCCTCCAGTCGCCTCAAGAATACTTCCCTGGGGACCGAGTTAACCTGTCAGTAGGAAACCTCCTACAACGCGACATTTGGCGACTTGGGATGCATTTAGGCGTGTCAAATTTATTGTAATGAGAAATGTCCCAATTTTTCGTGAGGATGAATTCCGCAGGGCTGATCTCAGTCTCTCCTGCCTCTCACATGTTCCAGTAGATTCTCTGAGCCTGTCGGTCCATTGTTTATGGGAGTGCAAATATTGCTTAAAGGACAATTTTTCACTGCACAGGGTTGCTCACAGTGTTTTTTTATCCCTACATAATTTAGCGGAATACCTAAGCGATGCAGCTATTGAAGAAGTAGGAAGTACCAATCTGGGAACGTTTTCACTTTATAAGTGTTCACTCATAGAGTGTGGTATAGGAAAGTGCAAGTAACCGGTGGCTGAAACCCTTATATAACGGAAAAGCAGTTGTTCCGTTGTTACGCATTTTAGCGCCAGATGACGAGGTCGCACGCCAAAGGAGTTTAAAATTTTGACAAACTGAAAATGTTTACAGCTCCTAGAACCTCACCAGCTTGAGGCCCCGTAGTTAATATTACCCTCAGTAAAGCGAGGAAATGGGTACTGCTGGGTTGTCTTTCCTCATATGGTCTTTTATGAATAAAAGCAAGACCGCAGTACAAATACGAGTTGGTTCCTTTTTATATACCTAAGAAGACCACGTTTCTCCCCATCAAAAATCGCTCTTATTGCCACCACTCCTGTTTGCGGACGGCCTTGAACTATAGTTCCGTTTTGGGTGGGGGTCAATGTACCCGTGTATGACATTACCCTCCTTTGATTCGGGAGTCTGATGTTCCAGATTGTTACAAAACTAATATTGTAGCACAGTTACGCGCCTCCTACGGGTTGCGACCGTAACAACCAGAAAGGCCATCGAATTGCTCCGAGTTCAGAGAACAAATTGACTTTGGGTACATCAGCCACATATGATAAGCGTGGGACGCCTTTAGTCCTCCTACTCATCGCCATTCCATCAAAGATCCCCAAGACGTTGCAGTAATTGTCTTACAGCCAGGCAGTAGTTGCTACTGCAGTCAGGCAGTCCATACGGCGAAATGAATGTCAACATGCGAGTAGTAGCCGGCCGTTTGCTACTCATCGTTCATTCGCACCTCACTTTACTCCGTCTCTGTGGAAGAGATATTCTGAACGCGTTTAGGGAAAGTCTGAAGAAACCGAACTAGAAACGAAAAATGCAGGAGTTACGCCAGTTTTAAGGGAGGCTCCGTCGCCGGGAGTGGCGGAATGGCTATGACTGAAGTGCCATTTATAAAAGTATGGAGAAAGAGTGTAGTTTTGAAAATAATTCGTGAGTCGCATTAAACGTCTTTAATTCGCCCTAAAATAATCCTAAAATTAATTACGGCCTGAAATGTATTTTTTCTGGCCACTTTTTTTAAATATGGCGCGACGAATGCCTGCTTAAATAAGCAGGGCCAAATCCAAGACTTTTGGGCGGACCGAATAAGTCACCCCTTCACTCACGAGATAAATGTGCACTAGAACAAGCGTAATAACCCTTCCAGTCCTCGCATACGGCAGGGTAGCAACACATATTACTGCTGTTTGTTAAATGAAACCACCAAAGCACGTTTAGACTCAGCGAGGTTAAGTACTCGCGTTATCTTCCGTTCAAATATATCATCTAGTGGGTCGGGCGGTTGTGTCATCTCGGATATATTTCCCTGGCAGTATGATATAATTCTGATTAATTTTTACCTATTCCTTGAGTACTCTTCGGGGAATAACTCGCCTTATTGTCTTTATGCTTTCAAAGTAATCCCGCAACCTTGTGAAAACTCTACTGTTTTGCGTTTATTATTTCAAATTCTGTCCTCTATGCCTAGTGGACTGACTTACATAAAATACAACTTGCTTTATGTGACTCGATCGTAATTCATTATATCCAGTCCAAGTGTAAAAAGGATCGCCGTTCTGATTTGATATTTAGCCACAATATAACATTCTATACATCCCTTTGGTAACTACTTTGATAGTTTACTTTAAGAACTACTCTACCCTTCATAGAATAACGTTGTTTTTTTCTGATTTCCAAATGAATCTTAAGCGTCTCCCTTGTATGTACCAAGATTACACTATGGTTATTTATCGTTCGACGCTATTCAATCACCTGTAAGGACTCTAATTTGGATGTGCAGATAAAATAAAACCTGTATATTCTGTTCTGCGTTTAGACCGGCTTAATTAATCACACTTATACGCGACCTTGCTTTGAGCATTTTCATATTTGAAGAAAACAGCTGGTCCTTAGAGTATATAAGCTCGAAAACTTACATGCTCCTAAACTTGTCATCTGTTTGTTCTTATGATGACATATGGAAAAATGCAAAACGACGGACGGACCAGTAATTGCTTCATAAGATGTGAGAATTGATACAGTTGTACTTTATTTAGACTAAAATTACTTTATTTTGGACGACATATCCTCAGTGTCGAAGTCCCGCTGTCGGGAAGGCGGGCTGGCTTATTCTCTTTTAGATAACCCCTGTGAAGGAACTTTTAGTGCACACAGAGAATTTATTACCTTTGAAATAATTCGCTGCTTACAAACGCCTATTCGGTGGTGGCAAAGTAAACCGGAAATGCTAATGGAACCCTGCATTCACACGTCAGTGTTGTGATTGGTCCTTGCCTCAGTAGCAACTCCCCAAAGTTATTTCACGTAACATGTTTTAAAGCTGAATAAAAGCACGCTGCTAATTTCTCACTAACCACTTTAAAAAGTGAAGACAACCAAGTTTAAAAATACAAGCGAAGCGCAGCTAGGAAACATGCAACTTTTATTAATTTCTAACAGTGGTAGTATACGAAGTATGGAGGTACTGTTACCTAATTAAGTTCAATGCCCCAGGGAAGTGGAAGGTGGTATCTGGCAAGGGTAAGTCGTACGATGACAGAATAAATTTACGTCAAACGTCAATTTATGCTAATTATCAGGTACAGCCGGGGTGGTGCAGTAACACCTGAACATGAAGCTTGACTAGTAAGGTCGGAATACCGAAATGTACTCTTGCACGAGGCAGTGAGACGGTTGACCAAGGCGAATAATTACGCAGAGCGGAAGTAAAGCGCGTCAAGTGTAGTTTAGGGAAGTTTAATTAACCAGTACAAGATTTAATAGGCCGTGTAATCACATAAGACGAAATGGAAAATTCCCGTTTTTTCCGACTACAATGCCGGCGTCCCCGGTCTGGGTGATAAAGGCGAAAACGTTAGTAGTTTCATTCCTACATTAGACGTCATACTATCCACTCTATGCACGGGCACTGATGGCTTCGTCCACAATTACCCAGACTACATTGATAAAACAGACTAAGTGGGAGGTTACAGCTGGTTATAGTGGTTATTTATCTGGTAAAGATATATTACGTCGTACCAAAAGTAAATGGTTAGTTTGGCTGTTCTGATGGTTAGTCAGTTCTAGGAGATAAATTATTCGCGACCAGGTGTGAATAGTTCCCCACTGCAACCTTATTTGTGTTTAGGCGAATTGTGTGCATCTCAGTTTCTGATACTTCCCTTAACAGTTTTTACATTTGTATAGTTTCCTTGAGTCAATAAAAAATAGGGGCTGATGTCCTAAGCAAATCCTCTGACGAATGTGGATGTGGTTTCTATCTCGCCATCTGAATACATAAGAAAATTCTTTCCGGGCACAATTACAATATGGTTGTTCTGCTTATGCACATGGCGTTGAATTTTATTCTAATAATAATAGTAATAATTCATATTGACCCAACTGTGAAAAACTCGGCGCCTCGGTGGGATTCGAACCCACGCAGTAAGGGGAAGGCTTTAGCGCAGCCAACGCTGTAACCACCTGAGCTACGAGGCCCCGCCGGACGACGCGAGTTTAATCACAATTGGGTCAAGTTACCCGCCCAACCTACTGCAAGGTCTGGAATCCACCAAATCTGATACAGTAAGTTGACTGCCCAAGCAGGATTTCATAAGTAATTCACAGTTGGGTCAATATGAATTATTCAAAATCTGCCAAAATATTAATGAATAGTAATAATAACAATGACAATAATAATAATAGTAATAATTGTATTAACTGCCCGTTTACAGGCATTGTCAGGAAAAGATTAAGCACAAATCTGGCCAGCAGTGAAAAAACTCCTCATAATTAAATGAAGAGGATGGTGTTCTTGTATAGTTTTGAGGGTGTAGGAGAAAAAACTTCTGCCCATGAAATGACAAGATTCAAGAACGGGAGGGGTAGCACTGTATCGGATATTATCAGCCGTCATTTCTTTTCATAAAGTTGGGACTGGATTAAACAGACGCACTGAAGCACGGCTGCCACTGTTGGCCAAATAAATTGTCCTGGTGAGACAAGCCAGGGTTATCAGAGACAACAAACGCCATCGCTGAGATATATTCGATCGGTGGGTCCAGCACCCGGAATTTGTGGGTTTTTCTGAAAGCAAAAAGCAACCAATCGTTCTCTTAAACAAAGGATAATTTTAACTAATTTTTACATTTCTGGGTATTTTATTCCAAAGAGCAATTGTCTTCACGGAAAAGAACCGAAGATATTTAACGATACGCGGTAGAGGAAGAGATAAAAAGACCTCACGATGACTGTTACGTCGGGGGTGGACAAGATGTCGTAAAGTAGTGAGTTGGTTAAAGGTGTGGGGTGTAGGAGTGTCGGCGGTAGGTTCACGTGATGGTCGTAGTGGTCGCTCACTTGCTTGCAGGTGAGGCTATGCCTAGCGTCCATTTGCTGGCACCCAACTCTCACCTGTGGCTCCACGTAGCCGGGCTCTGCTCAGCGGCCACAACCCGGGCAACCGCCTCGACCGGCAGGCTAAACCAGGTGAGGGTATCCGTGCGTGCACCTGCACACGCGGTACTGTGGTTTGCGCTGGCCGGATGGATCTTCGCGTCGACATCGTCGAGACGAGGCTCTGCCTGGACCATCGCAGGAGGCCACCAGGTAAGTTCTTCTTCAGGTAAGTGAATTTGCTTTGTTTCTTCTCTTTGTATGTTGAAGTCCCGTGTTGTATGCTGCTCTTGTTGCTTGCCCTCTATATGTTAGTCTGTCTGTTAACAGCTAGATGAAACTCTTGATGCCTGCTGCGACTGTCTGTCTGTCAGTCTATGCCTCTCTCTCTGCTAATAGCTGGGTGTTACTGTGCTTGATCTTGAAGGATGCCCTATTACTTCTGTCTCTGACTTATGACTGTGCCTGCTTGTCCACTCTAGCTGTAAGTCCCTAAGCGTTCTGTCGGTGTGTATGCTCTCTCCTACTTAACTCCATCATATCACCACCAAGGTCCCAGGCTAACTCGGGTCGTTCTCTCACTAACAAAAAGTCGTGGCCCATAGTGGAGTCCGGCAGCTGTCTGGGATAACCGGGCAGCCCTATTTAGGGGGTGCGCTGCCTGCCCTCGCGAGGGGAGGGGGCTAGAAAAGGTGCCTTAAAAATTGCTGGGAACCACGCTGTCTGCAGGCTGACCGTGGCCGCAGACAAAACACACACAGTCGAAACAGCCAAAACCGAAACAACAACAACAATCACTCTCCTCCTCTTCCAGCCTATTCTTCTTCTTCTCCTCCTAGATTTCGCCGCCGCAATCCCCAGACTGGCAGGGTGATTCCGCTCACTCTGGCAGCGTGGAATGTTCGTTCCCTTTTAGACAATCCCAGGAGCAAACGGCGGAACGAAGGACGACGCTAGTCGCTAGGGAACTGCCGAGCTACAAGGTTGATACCGCTGCACTCAGCGAGATCCGGCTTTCCGAACAAGGCCAATTGGAGGAGGTGGGTGTCGGCAACACCTTCTTCTGGAGCGGTCTCCCCAAGGCAGAGCGAAGTGACGCGGGCGTCGCCTTTTCCATCCGAAACGACATCGTGAGACGACTTCCCTGCCTGCCGCAGGGCATCAACGATCGCCTGATGAGCCTCCGTCTGCCTCTCCGGGGTGGGGGCAAATTCGCCACCATCATCAGCGTCTACGCTCTGCCGATGAGCAACCCTGACGCCGCAAGAGACAAATTCTATGAGGACCTGCACGCCCTCTTGGCAACTGTGTCGAAGGCGGACAAGTTGATTGTCCTTGGTGACTTCCATGCCCGCGTCGGCACAGACCATACTGCCTGGAGAGGAGGGCTGGGTCCCCACGGTCTCCGCGGCTCAAACGACAATGGTCTGCTGCTGCTCCGCACCTTCGCAGAACACCGCCTCATCCTGACGAACAGGTTCTTCTGCCTGCCGGAACGAGAGAAGGCCACCTGGAGGCATCCCCGGTCGCGTCAGTGGCACCTGCTGGACTGTGTCCTCGTCCGGAGGCGAGACCAGCGGGACGTGCTGGTGACGAAGGCGATCGCGGGCGCTGACGGGTGGACCGACCATCGCCTCGTCATCTAGAAGATGCGTATTCGCCTACAGCCTCACAGGAGACCACAAGGTAAGCGACCCCAAGGTAAGCTGAATGTTACTTTGTTATCTTTGCCTGCTCACCGTCTTAATTTCAGCAATGAGCTAGCTCAACGGCTAGATAACCTTCCTATCGCTGCCGCCGACGACGCCGCTGGTGCCAACTGCGAAACACGGTCCAGTCGACGACGCTCGCCGTCCTCGGTCGCGCTCCCCGCCAACACCAGGACTGGTTCGACGACAACGACGCCGCCATCAGAAATATGCTTGCTGAGAAGAACCGCCTACACAAAGCCTCCGTAGATCACCCCACCGAGGACAACAAAGCTGCTTACTTCCACAGTCGCCGCCAGCTTCATCAGCGGCGGCGCGAGATGCAGGACGCCTGGACTGCTCGCAAAGCTGAAGAGATCCAAGGCTACGCGGACCGTAACGAATGGAAGAACTTCTTCTCCGCGATCAAAGCTGTCTACGGTCCGCCGACGACGGGCTCTGCTCCTCTCCTCAGCGCCGACGGTAGCACTCTCCTGACTGAGAAGACGCAAATTCTACAGCGATGGGCCGAGCATTTTCGAGGCTTCCTCAATCGCCCCTCCGTCATCTCCGACGCCGCCATCGACCGTTTGCCGCAAGTGGAGACCAACGTGGACCTCGACCTCCCGCCATCTCTCCAGGAGACCATCAGGGCCGTGCAGCAGCTCTCCAGCGGAAAGGCACCCGGATCGGACGCAATGCCTTCCGAGGTCTACAAGCACGGAGGTCCACAACTCATGGATCACCTGACTGCGCTCTTCCAGGAGATGTGGCGTCAAGGTGAAGTCCCGCAAGATTTCAAGGACGCAACCAACGTGCATCTCTACAAGCGCAAAGGGAATCGCCAAGTCTGCGACAATCACCGCGGCATCTCCCTGCTGAACATCGCCGGGAAGATCTTCGCCCGCATTCTTCTCAACCGCCTCAATAACCATCTGGAACAGGGCCTTCTGTCGGAAAGCCAATGAGGCTTCCGTCGCCATCGTGGGATCACGGATATGATCTTCGCCGCCCGTAAACTTCAGGAGAAGTGCCAGGAGATGCGGACCCACCTGTACTCTACCTTCGTGGACCTGACGAAAGCCTTCGACACGGTGAATCGTGAAGAACTGTAGAAGATCGTGCATAAATTCGGCTGTCCGGAGCGATTCACTCAGATGGTGCGTCAGCTGCACGACGGTATGATGGCGCGAGCCATGGACAACGGTGCTGTCTCATAAGCATTCGCAGTGACCAACGGAGTGAAGCAGGGATGCGTGCTGGCGCCCACCCTCTTCAGTCTTGTGTTCTCTGCCATGCTGATGGACGCCTATCGTGATGAGAACCCCGGGATCCGCATCGCCTACAGGACGGACGGTCACCTTCTGAATCAACGACGGATTCTCTTCCAATCGCGCGTATCCACAACCACCGTTCACCAACTTCTCTTCGCCGACGATTGCGCCCTGAACACCACCTCGGAAGAGGAGATGCAACGGAGCATGGACCTGTTCTCCGCCGCCTGCGAGAACTTCGGTCTAGCCATCAACACGAAGAAGACGGTGGTGATGCATCAACCGCTACCCCACTCAGTCACAGCCCCAACGCGCCGCCGCAAATCAGCGTGAATGGGATCCAATTGCAGTACCCTCTCCGACTGAACCATTTCCACCTCAGTTGTCTCCGTCGCATCCGGAGGCTGAACTGGCAGGACCGCATCACCGACACTGATGCGCTGGAACGGACAGGAATCCTCAGCAGCTACACCATGCTGAGACAAATGCAGCTGCGCTGGAGCGGCCACCTGGTGCGCATGGACGACGAGCGACTACCCAAACGACTCTTCTACGGAGACGTCGCGACGGGTTCTCGTCGTCAAGGAGGCCAAATTCGCCGTTACAAGGATGCCCTGAAGTCCTCCCTGAAGCGTCTCCAAATGAACACGGCCAACTGGGAGGAGCTCGCCCGCGATCGTCCGACATGGAGGAGAACAGTGAAGACGGGCGCTGCTATCCACAAAGCCAACCGCATCGCTGCCGCATCGCGAAGCCCGCAAATCCCAACTGCGCCCAGTACGCAACGCCGACGCACAACCGCTACCAACCTGTCCTCGATGTCGACGGACATTCCGGGCTCGAATCGGACTTGTTGGACATCTTCGGATCAACTGTACCTCTCGGACCGCATCAACAGCCGTCCCTCCACCCGCCTCTTCCTCGTCCTCTCTGCCGCCAACTGCCTCTGGCAATTCTTCTGAACTACCACCACCACCACCTCCATCCTCCTCCTCCTCCACCACCACCACCACTGCCCCAGCGACGGCCGTTCAGGCGACCATCTCCCACACCACCAACCCTGACAAAACATCCGACACCACCCCCACTTCCCCGACTTCAGCGATGAGGATCAGGACTAAATCTGCCCACACTGCGACCGCACCTTCACCTCACGCATTGGCATGGTCGGTCACTTGCAAATCCATCGCAGAGAGACTGGCGAACCAGTGCCTGGAGCACCAACCTACACCCACCGCACTCGCCTCAACTGCCCACACTGCCCTCGCACCTTCACGAATCGCATGGGTCTATTCGGCCACATGCGCATCCACGAGAGCGGAATTGACCACAATTCCGACACACCAACCACGTCCAACACGCCCGCCATACCCAGCCCCACCCTCGCTCCATCGTCATGCGCGCCCATCACCATCACTACCACCACCGCCTCCTCTGCAGCTGACACTGACACCGCCGTCTTCTCATGCCCACACTGTCCACGCACATTCACCTCACGCATCGGCCTGGTCGGTCACTTGCGAATCCATCGCACAGAGACTGACGAACCAGTGCCTGGAGCACCCACCTATACCCACCAAGCTCGTCTCAACTGCCTACACTGCCCTCGCAGCTTTAGGCATCGCATGGGCCTATTCGGCCACATGCTCATCCACGACGACCTGCGGTAGATTACCGCTGGCTATCTCACACACTCCCGACCTCCTCCACCACCACCATCACCCCACCAGAAATCAACACTCACCCACCGCATGCATCCAACTGCCACCCTCCACGCAAGTGGGAAGTGTGCATCTCGACTCGGTCCCATGCGGCTTCGGCTGCAGGGGTGACTTGAGTCCGAGACTATCCCGACACGTCAAGCGTCGTGGATAGGAAGGTTACTGATTGAGGCCCGCTCTCGGTTCACGCAGTTCGTCGCATTGTGTGTGTGTTGTGTGTAGTGGCGGACTGGTGGGCTGGGGACGAGCTGAAACAGCACCTTCCACGGCACTCCCACGCAAGTGAGAAACAAGCCGCTCAACCCCCGTTGTGTGAAATCCTGGTGTTGTGTGTATGGGGGGCCAGGTCGTGCTGTGGCGCGCGCAGGCATGGTCAGTCGACCGTGTCAGCCACCGCGCCCATTTCCCACTCCAGTCTGCTGACCGGCTCGGACAGCGGCTGGGGTTTGGGGATGGGAAGGGAGAGTGAGGTCGACGACTCAGCGCATTTTCCTCACTATAAACAATCTGACGCGCTTGAAGCTATCACGGTGCGCTAAAAGCCGTGGCTTGGAAGGTTGCCAACTGACGGGGTACCTTGGACCTCCTCCTTCACTGGAGGCGGTCTGAGAGTCAGGCTGCAATGGCTCCTTTTTAATGTGGCCTTTATGGCACTCCCACCAAAGTGTGGGATCCGAGCCAGGCGTCGGCGTCGCGACCAGGTGCGGCTTCGGTCATGCCAGCCTCCAAATCTCTTTTGTTGGTTGAAATCCTGGTTATTGTTGTGTGGACCAGGGGGTGTGGTGGAACGCCAAGGTGAGGATCCGTCCGAGCCATCCACCTGCGGCCTCCCTCGTCTCCGGTCTTCTTGATTCTGTCTTGACAACGGGCCCAGGCGGGGGAGGAGGAGAGAGTGTAGGTAGATGCTACGCAAGTCTACTGGCACTATAAACCCCAGCGTAAGTCACCGTCCCTGCTCCCACAATGCAGTCTGTGGGGCACACGGTGGACATCATCGAAATCGATGGTCGAACTGTCGGGTGCCATTCATTCTCTGTAATCACATTTTTATTTCGGTATTCTCTAAGCAGTTATTTCAGCCGATCTGCCACTGCTTTGGCTTGTGACTTCTGTGCTGGTCTGTAAAATTCTCTGTCATCATGAAAGGCTTTAACTTTTCCATTATAATCTTCTCTATTAATCACGACGGTTGATCGTCCCTGGTCAGCAGGTAGAATGATAATGCTGTCGTCCCTCCTCAGTTCCCTTATAGCCTTTGACTCACTCTGCGAAATTCATTTGGTTGGTCTGTGTGTCATCAGCAAGGAGGTAACACGTTGTCGGACGGAGTGTTTCATTTCGTCTGATGCTTCACTTCTCACAAGCATAGCTTCCAGGGCTGCGATGAAGCCGACAGGATCGGCATCTGCAGTGTTGAAACGAGTTTCATGCCCTAACACTCGTAGTTGCTGCAATGTTAGCTGCGTAGACGAGAGATTTTGGACCAAATTAGATCCTTCTATGCCTGGTGGTTTTAGCTTAGTCAGTTTCCGTTCCAAAACTTCTCTCTTTTTGGCTTGCCTGTGGTGTGCCAAAGCGGAGATCGTCCTCCCAAGATCTGCGGCGATAGAATCGCCGAGAACTTGGGCGCACTGCCTTCTGTTCTCCTCGAGTCTCCGGTAGGAGTCTGAAAGCTCGGGACAATAAACAAAGTGTTCCGGTGCTCGAATCTTCTTCTTCACTTACACTTGTGACAGTTTGATCGTCGCGGCAGGCGATGTCCACCGTGGGCCCACAGGAATGATGGGCACAGAAGGGTAACTTGAGCGTGAACACTATCAGCGTGTTAAGGACGGTGGAATTGGAGTGGGGTGGGGAGGGAGGGGTTCGGGTTAGGCTGTGAACGCCGTCTGTATGTCAAACACGCGGAGTGCGCGTGACTGTTCTCAGGGCGTTGGGGCGACGTGCACTCACCTCATGGAGTCGGCCACGGAAGACAGACTGCCTGTGTCAGGGCCTTCTGACAACGGAGCGCTGGATGCGTTAATCGAATAGCCACCGCCTCGGCTGTTGCTAGTACCCGTTTGCGTAGGTCTTTAGAGTGATGTGCTGGCACCCGGTAGATCATTTAAAAGACCTCTTTGGCGGTTCGTATCGATTAGATGTGCGAGAATCGGACTCGAAACCGGTCGATTTCCCCCCTTACCTAGCCAGGCAGGCATGTGCTCGAGCGCCTTCTTTTCCAGACGCCTCGTTGTACGGCCGATGTATGCCGCTCCACAGGAGCAGGTGAATGACTACACATCGACGTGGCTTGCAACAGCGGTCAATCTTTGCCCCCCGATCGTAGAAGGGGAGAGTTTGCGAAGGATATGCGCAAGTTCACCGCGTGGAGGGCTCTCGCGGTGGCCGTCCTTAGACGTCGTCTTACTGAATCGCTTGCTGGGTCTCCTAGAAAAGGCAGTCTTACAAATAAGTCTTTCCTTCCAGCAGTTGCAACGCAGGTTTTGTTACACGCTCTCTAATATTCCGGAGGATGAATCTCTCTGGATAGCCGTTTTCGCGGGGCGTGTTTTGCGGCTGCTGGAGTTCTGCTTCAACAGTTTCGGACGAGCTGACACGTCGCTCTCTAGCTGCCAATCCCTAGATTAAATTTCGTTTTAGATTTAAGGGAACAAAACTGTGAACTTAGTGTATTGTCTCGTCCATGTCTTCTTTCGGAATACCCTGCGATGTATAGACCCGTCTTCTTGTCTGTGTAGAAGGGCATCTAGGAACGCTATTTCGCCATTTGCCTCAGTCTCTGCGACAAACTTCAGAGAGAGAGAGATGTGCCTTGTTAAACTTCGCATCAGGCCATCGATGTCGGTGGTATGACCTGTCAGACAAGTGATATCGTCTACGTATGGACCGTAGATGTCAAGGTCATTTATGCGCACTTTCCTCACTATACACAATCTGACGCGCTTGAGGCTATCACGGTGCGCTAAAAGCCGTGGCTTGGAAGGTTGCCAACTGACGGGGTAACTTGGACCTCCTCGTTGACTGGAGGCAGTCTGAGAGTCAGGCTGCAATGGCTCCTTTTTAATGTGGCCTTTATGGCACTCCCACCACCGCGTGGGATCCGAGCCAGGCGTTGGCGTCACGCCTAGGTGCGGCTTCGGCCGTAGCAGCCTCCAAATCTCTCTTGTGTTGGTGAAAATCGTGGTTATTTGTTGTGTGGACCAGGGCGTGTGGTGGAACGCCAAGGTGAGGATCCGTCCGAGCCATCCACCTGCGACCTCCCTCGTCTTCGGTCTTCTTGACTCTGTCTTGACACCGGGCTCGAGCGAGGGAGGAGGGGAGAGTGTAGGTAGATGCAACGCAAGTCTACTGGCACTATAAATTCCTGCGTAAGGCACCGTCCCTGCTCCCACCGCTGCTGCAGCTGTGGGGCACACGGTGGACATCGTCGAAATCGACGGTAGAACTGTCGGGTTAAAGGTGCGATTATGTAAAAGCTTAAATAGGCAAAGTAGTCTCTACTGTAATCTACGAAACCACAAAAGGATCAAGGCCTATAAGTCGGCAATGTTCTTGGTACGACAAATTCCGGCGTTCCAGGGTTAAAACTCTCTTGGTAAAAAAATTGTTGGACGGGCTCTATTTTTTTCCGCTCAGTAGCACGCATGAGGCTAAATAAGACCGAACAGTATTCCAGGCCAAGTCTAACGTACATGTTATAAAAGGGCATTCTAATATCGCTGCTTTTAAAGTTTCGGGGGATAAACCCGACCGTTCTGCGTGCCTTGGAGACTATCAGGGCGCAGTGCTCCCAATGATTAGGATTCTTGGAATATGATAAATCCAGATCCTTATTATCTGCAGGCATATTTGTGCTGTGACTGTCAATACCTAGTTGAGGTTGGTGGTCGCCGCCAACCACCATGACTGAACATCTATGCCAAGAAAGAGGAAGGCGCCATTTGCGGTTCCACTGGCACAGGTCTATAGGTCGCAATTTATGCTCTCGAGCCCGATGTCATGATCATTGGAACTATCAGCGGTCGACTAAGCAGCAGCTATAGGATTCCCGAAGGCGTCTCAAAGGGTGGATTGCTGCGTTTTTCCATGGGTTCGTACTTTTCGGGAGAAACGTTTCCAGACGTTTAACGAGCGGTTTTCGGTAAACTGGATCTCCTCAGCTAGCCGTTTTTTTCGGACAATCTCTTTGCCTGTTCAAAATATCACAAATCGAGTGCGGAACGGAAACGTCGTTATGAAGATTAAATAGACGAAAAGTTTGCGCAAACCGCGACGAAAGGGTAAGGGTAGGAACACCTCATCTCCGTCATTAATTATTTTCTCACGGGGGACAAAACGAGAAATAAGGAGATCTTAAATTTCGTACAGTTTTGTGGTGCAGACATGTACTTCCGGACTTAGGAAGAAATCAGTCCGACCGTAGGAATTAAGGTGTGTTAATAATTCGGTCGAGCGAGCTGATCAAGAATCAAGGAAAATGTTATAATTTGGGCACATTTTGACAACCTCCAGTTCTAATGTTGAAAAAACCATTGCATGGTCTAAGCTCCCGAGTGGGCCTAGGGATGATATTGAAAAAAGCATGCAACCTATACAGAAAATAAGGTCAAGTATGCTTGATCCTCGAGTGGGAAAATCAATAACCTAAAACCATATCCGAAAATCCACAGCCTCAAGTAAGTTTTGGGGCCGAAAGGCGGAGACCAGCGGACTTCAGGAAGATAAAAGTCACCAGCAAACAATTGATACTTAAAGCTTAATTCCGCCGCAGCATGAAATGCCTGTGAGAGTAAACGATCAAAATTGTCGTTGGCGTTGAGAGGGCGATAGACACAGTCAACGAGTAAGGAGAATGTTTTTCGGTGTAACCTGGATCCAACAGCTGCCTTCTACCGCAGAAAAATGCGGGAGGTCCAGCGACGGAAAGTAAGCGCTTGCTTAGCGTA